AGCCCTCTAGGAGGGCCCAGCTTCCCCACTAAGATGGTGGCCTACAGGGCTGGGGTGACACCCCACCCACACTACAGCACCCAGTGAGTACCCAAAACTTTAAATAACTTAACTATATTAAACGTTTAGCCCTGGAAATTTAAGTAGGAAAATGAGTTTCTAGCATAGTAAATATTAACACACCACCGACTGGGCTTACAAATAACATGAGCTTAATCTCCACTGAGTAAGGTGGTCAAAAATAACCCTGAGCAGGTGCCACCTCCAGAAGCAGCCACTGCCCTCTACCAGGTCAGGCAGCTCTACCTGTCTCCTCGTGATCCTCGGCAGCGGCCAAGCTGCTCTCTCTGATCCAATGCGAGTAACAGTAGATGGGCAGTCCTCAAAGGTCAAGGCTCAAGAAACAATCATCCAGCCCTGACAGACATCCTCGGTTCAAGCAACAGTAAGAGGAGATGCAGGACCTTCCAAAAAATCCAGGAAACATGGAACTGGAACTCAAGTTGTTTATTTCAATGAAAACAGTTTTGAAATCCATGCATGGTCTTGTATAAACACGTTTTACATGAAGTTTCTGAGGCCTTCTCATATGAAAGTACTGCACAATCATTTCATGTTTTAAAGGAAACTGGGATAGAAATCAAATGTAAAATTACTTTTAGGTCATACATGACTTTAACACAGATTCCCACTGTAGGTAACTAGGGTTCGATTCCACCAGACCTGTCTGTTTCAGGCCTGTCTTCCCATCAGAGATCTCACAATGCGGCTACTCAGATGAAATGGCTCCCAAAAAGGGGCCCAGCTGCCCTGCATTTTACACAGAGCACAGGGGCAGGACACTCCAAGGCTGATGGGGATGGACTAACGCCCAAGACTCAGAGAGAAGAGATACACAGACTACGTGAATCTGAGAGATCCTGCCAAGCTTCCCCACCATAGTTCACCTACTAATCACACGTTTCAAAAGAACAGTAAAAGGCAGATAATGGTCACAGGCAAAAAGCAAAATGGGGGAAAGGACAATAAACCACAGGATATATGCAAAACCACTATATTAAAGATCTGATACGAGGTTACTCTCTTGGGTATCATGAGGTTAACAGCAAAACCTCTATAAACAGTGGTTTTCCACAAGCACGGCCACTATGCCCACTTCAGCATGCAACAGCGCTCAGAGCAAAACCAGATTTACCTCCCATGTAATCAACACCAGAAACCAAGAGCCAGGAATGCCCTTCTCTCCATGCCCACCACAAACACTGTCTGAACCGACTGAAGAGAACAGATGTCATGTAAGCTAAGCTTGAAGAGGAAGGGAAAGCCGTTCCCTACACCAGGCGCCCTCATATTCTACCTGCCCAGAGTTGTTCAACTGAGCGGGCTGGAGCAAGACAAAGACATGAAAAACAGAGAATTAATTTTCAAAAAAAGTTTATGTGAAAGAATACAGATATAGAAGGACAGACACTTCAGCCCTCGGCCGGGGCCAGCCTGAGGAGCTTCATCTGTGTTTCTCACACAAGTTGCAGTGGCTCAAGCACTTGGGCCAGCTTCTACAGCTTTCCCAGGAACATTGGCAGGGAGCTGGATTGAAGTGGAGTAACTGGGAATGGAACTAGTGCCCATGTGGGATATGTTAGCAATGCAGACAGTGGCTTAGCTCACTAATCTACAAAGCTGGACCCTAGTAACTTCTTTTCATGCAGTAGAAAGCAATTCTGTGTTTTGCATGCCAGTTAGCTACTGCAGTAGTATCTAAGGTATACACAGGAAGAACCATCATTTTCAAGTGTTTTATGCATTGTGGACAGACATGTCATTTAAATTTCCTAGCTTCGGATCGGCACAGTATCGGCCTGTTGCGCTCACTTGGGGAGTGAATCATCGGACGGAAGATCTTCCTCTCTGTCTCTCCTCTCTGTATATCCGCCTTTCCAATGAAAAAATAATAAAAATAAAAATCTAAATTTCAGACAATTCTAAGGGGGCGGGAATTTTCACTTCAATTTAGCAACAAAGCAGTTAAAGGACCCTGGGGCGAATAATCTAGCGTCCTAACAACAAGCGATAGTAGAGGCAAGAACTGCTGTACCTATGAAATCCTCATGCAAATAAACAGCATTTCTGAGCAGATGCGCAGTCGACGGGCGATCACCAAGTACCACAGTCACCGCTAAGGCCAAGAATAGCACATGGCCCACTGACCCTCCTCCAACGCCCAATCAGCCTTGTTGTACGGTCCACTGACCCTCCTCCAACGCCCAATCAGCCTTGTTGTACGGCCCACTGACCCTCCTCCAACGCCCAATCAGGCGTGCTCTTTGGATGCAGACACCCTTCTGATGTCTTCACAGTGAAAGTGATGTCTTTCACATCACTTGAGAATAGCAAAGAAATGACTTGACAATCCTGGCAGGTGGAAGAGAACATGTAAAGCAGGGATCCTGGGGAGCTGTTCTTTGAGGGAGCATGCCCAGGAGACTTCTACCAAGGACTTCTCTAACCAAGAACACCAGTCATGGAGCACTTTCTTTTCTTCTGTGGCAAATAAAAGAAAACTAACCTTTGCTCTCTCTTCCCTTGAGCTGTGAATGATTACCACTGCTCCCTTGATAAGTGGGTCAAACACAAGATGAGTGCCTCTCCCAGGTGACTACGGTCCTTACCTAACTGTGCAACTAACCCCAAGGCAGGGCGAGACAGCAGGACACGCAACGCACCTCCCCAGCCACACACCCCAAGGAGGTTGTCCTCGGATGGAGGTGCCAGAGAAGGCCACAGAAGGCAAAAGCCTCCCTAGGGGAAGGAGCAAAGACAACCAAAACCCACCCATGCGGTGAGCAGGTCTCTGTGGGACAAAAGGCAATTTATTGAGTCAGATGTCATCCACAAGAGGGAACAACCAAGAACAACAACAACAAAAAAGAGAGATCAGAAGACATGAATTTCCAAGTGTCTAGATTAGCAGAGCCTTACCCAGGTTAAAGGTCACCCGGTCGCTTCCAAAAGGGAGAGAGAACGCTGATAACATGAGCTACTGTCTCCTGGCCAGCACTGCACTCCTGATGGAATAACACCTGTGCCACTCTGAGCTCAAGTTTTAAAACACACAGAAAGGTTGCAAGATTCTTGTGTGGAATCCTTCGTGGACGGCAGCTTTAACAGCACAGGACAGACAGACCTGGCCGGGCAGGATCGGCTCAGGGCACTCAGAGCTTGAGGACCCATCCAGTCACTCGCTTCAAACGTTTTTCAGCCAAAGTGGACTTCCTACACTTGGGTCAGCACATTTTAATTTTTAAATTACTAAAATCCCCAGAAAAACATAAAAGCATTTCTTCCATGTTCCACATTAAAAACCCCTTTTCAAACAGTTCTGAAAAGAGGTAAGCTGATTAAACAGATTTACTTCCTTAATCATTTTACTTCACGAAGTTCTTTCTTTCCATGTTTTGGACCATTCTCAATAGGGCCCATGGCAGCACAGCCAGAACCAGAGTAACACTGAAAGCTCCCCCATCAACGAGTGATGCAAAGCACCAATGAGAGCCTTCTCCCAGGAGAGGCCTCCACCTGCACAGATCCCAGGAGGGTATGGAATGGCAGCTTCGCTTTGGGTCCAGCTGCCTGCTGACGCGCCTGCCCCTTCACCACACGGGAGAACCAGCAGGAGGCTCCAACTCTGTTAGGGCCATTTAGGGGGGAACTCACAGCTGGCAGATCTCTCTCTCTCCTTCCATCTCTGTTAATCTGCCTTTCAAAAACAAAATGGTAATAAAACAAAAGAGAGGAAGACATTTAGATGTCAAATATGAGGGAATGGAGTTTTTAAAAAGTCAATGGAGACGGGCTTAGTGTGGTACCCTAGTGGCTAAAGTCCTCACCTCATACGTCAGGATCCCATGTAAGTGGTAGTCCGTATCCCCATTGTCCCTCTTCCCATCCAGCTCCCTGCTTGTGGCCTGGGAAAGCAGTCGAGGACGGCCCACAAGGGAGAGCCTGCACCCACAAGGGAGACCTAGAAGAGGCTCCTAGCTCTTGACTTTGTATCAGTTCAGCTATAGCTGTTGCAGCCATTTGGGGAGTGAATCAGTGGATCTAAGATCTTTCTGTTTCTCCTTCTCTCTATAAATCTAACTTTCGAATAAAAAAAAAAAAAAAGTCAGTGGAAAGCCGAGCCTGGCAGCCTAGTGGTTAACTCCTTGCTATGCATCCACCAGGACCCTAGCTGCTCCCACTGCATGTGGCCTGGGAAAGCAGTCGAGGATGGCTGCTTGGCTGAAGCTGTTGCAGCCATTTAGGGAGTGAACCAGCGGATGGAAGGTTGGTCTGTCTATATGTATCTCCTCTCTGTGTATCTATGTCTTTCCAATAAAAGAAATATCTATCTATCTATGTATATATACATATATATATTTAAAAAAAAAAAAGAGGTCAACGGACAATATTCAACCTCCTCCCTTCCACTGCCTAGGAAAGCAGGCAACGTCCAGGCATGTGGAGTCCCACACGGCACTTCCGGTCAGCCTCCTCCAACCCTCTTCCTGCCTCCGGGCTGAGCTGGGCCCACCTTCAAGTCCGGCTCTCTTCACACAACTTTAGCAACCTTCCCAAGATGAGTCTGTCACGAGCGGGACAGCTTTGCGAGGTATTCCCAGGATTTCCATCAAGCTTCACTTAAATTCCAAAAACCCGGTGTATCTGTCCCACGAAACAACTTTCGGGGCTGGAATATCAAGCAGCTTAAAACTTACTCTTCAAACCACTTGAGCGCCCAGCAAGGAACCGCACTGGGTTCGGGGAGCCCGGGACCTGCACTTGAGCTGCGCTGGGACACACGACACCTCCCACGCGGCCGCCGGATTTAAAATCATCGAACTCTGGAAGCGCGCACAAGCCCAGCACAGGGTTAAGGAAACCATGTCGGAAGATTAAAGGCGGAGAAGCCGGGAGCGAGCGGAGGAGAAGCCGCGTTACATAAAGTTCCCCTCGCTCACCGTTTCCTTATTGGGAAGCAGCTCCTTCCTGATTCTGAAGAAGTTCTTGCCGTACTGCCTGAGGCCCTTCACGAAGCGTTTCTGTGACAGAACAAACAAAACGGGGTGTCAGCAAAGCAAAGCTATCCGCAATCAGCAGAAAACCGCCACGGCCACCCGGATCCCGACCGCGGGGCTCCGGCGCCCAGGCCCGGCCAGAGGGAGCCAGGCGACCCACCTGGCAGGGCGAGAAGCTTCTAGCCCGGCCGGAAGCCCCCCTCCTGGGCCGCAGGAATGTGCGGGGGAGGGGGCAGCGACCCCGCGGCGGACGGCCCCTGGGAGCCGGGCCTGCCCCACCACCTCCGGCAGAAGCCACCCAAGCCCCCGGAGAACAGTCCGCGCCCCTCCCAGCGCCCCCCGTTCAGCCTCGGACTCGCCTGCAGCCCGGCCCTGGCACTTTCACTTTGTCCCACTCGTGCGAGCGATCCCTTCCCCGGCCCGCTCCTCGGGACCCCCAGCCGGGTCCAGCGCAGCCGAGCCCGGCAGCCGCCACGGAGCGACGGAGCCGGGGCCGAGCGAGGCCGCCTGCCTGTCACTCGGCGGCTCCACAAAGCGCAGGGCGGCGGCGGCGGGCTGCTCGGCGTGTGACCGCGGCGGGGCCGCGCGGCGCGGGGCGCGGGGCTGGGGCTGCCGCCGCTGCCGGGGGAGGAGGCTGAGCGCGGTGCGCAGAGCCCAGCTCGGCCACGGGCGGCTGCAAAAGGCGGCCTGGATCGCCGCGCCGCCCGCCGCCGGGACCCAGTGCTCTCCGGCGCCCCGCCCCCGGCCCGACCCTGGCCGCGCAGCTGGAGCTTCCCGCCGGGCGCTGGATCTCGGGCTCAGCAACCTCCGGGCAGCAAAGCACAGAAACTTCGCAGAGACGGTGCCCGCGAGGAAGGGGCGCTTCCTGGGCTGCTAGGCCTGCAGAAGCCCCAGGGGACCATGCTTCGGCCTCACGCCCTCCACCTCCGCGTCGCCTGGAAGGCTGGCTGGCTTTGGAGACCCCCCTCAGCCCCTGCCAGATGAGTTCGTGGGTGGCTACACCCCGCCCGACCCAGGCATTTGCTTACACTTCCCAGGGTGCCTATCCCCAAGTGAAATCCACCAGGAAGCTTCCTACCTTCAGAAGGTCCCGCCCCTCCCCGGTCTAAGACCTCCGGGCAAGGGGAGTGAAGGCCAGCTTGGTCTGTAAGACCCGTCTGCAACCTTCTACTCCAGACCCTGAGGCACTGCGTTTCCGGATCTCACCCCTCGCTAAGATATGACTCATCACTGTCAGCTTTCAATAGAATTCGTGGTTTCAAGGAAAAAGTTGTCAGAAAGGAAGCTCTTCCCTGGTCTGAGGAGGCATAGCTTCATTCCTTGTCAAAAGCATGGCTCATTCGAGCGGCAGGCCTGCCTCCTCAGCCCTCAGCCGCGTGGTCTGCAGCGGGACCAAGCCCTGCCCGCAGCCACACAGGTGAGCAGGCTGGAAACAGCCCAGTAACAAAGGCTGCTGGGTGGAGTTGCCAGGAGGAAGCAACTTATTTTGCTAGTTGATGGCTCAGAGGAAGTGAAGAGGAAGAGCCTGTGGACTCCAGCAGGGCTTCAAATTGGCCTGGAAGGGTATAAAGAACATTCTGGGAAATTCAGGGAAGAGAGGAGTGCCAGGAGGTAAGACTGGAGAGGCTGAGAGGACCCCCCACATAGCCGGCAGGCCTCAACTGCAGCCCCCCAGAACGACTGAGTCAGGACTGCCCAGGGCATGGGAGATTGGGCACAAGCTGGTTCAGGAGAGCCCAGAGCTGACAGGACCACCAGAACCACAGCCAGGCACATCCTAACACCTGCTGCTGCTTGCTCCCCAACCCTCCCCAGTTATTCACTTGAAAGGCAAAATGAGGGGTGGGGCTTGTTTGATCTACCGGTTCACTCCCCAAATGGCTGCATCAGCCAGCCAGGTCTGAGCCAGGCCAAAGCCAGGAGCCAGGAATTCCATCCTGGTCTCCTACATGGGGACAGGGGCCTAGGTACATGGGACGCCTTCCACAGCTTCCCCAGGTGTGTAAGCAGGAAGTTGGATCAGAAGCGGCACAACAGTTGGGCTTTAAACTGGCACTCTGATGCGGGATGCCAGCATTGCAAGGGGCAGCTTACTGTGCTGCACCACAGGCCAGCCCCTGGAAGCGTTAAAAAATAATAAAGGTAGCAATGGTCCTTGATGAAACGATGGGGTTAAGTCATTACAGAGCATTCTGGGACATTCTCCAGCCGAGCCTAAAACTGTGAGGACCTCCAGTGCAGCAAACGATGGCCTGTGGTGGCCTATGGCTGGACAGATGCCATCACTGAGACAAGACGACAGGGGGCAAGATCAGGAAAGACGCACAACACTGTGGGGGTGAGGAGGGTGGGACTAGCGGCCCCCTTGAAGGACAGAGGACAACAGCAGGTGGGTCACGGCAGACAGTCTAATACTTGGTTGAGGAAGCCATGGCCAGATTCCAGATGGGGGGAATGCCAGGTGTATACAGTGGAACACAGGCCTGATGCCAAGCCGCACTCAACAGGTTCACTACAGGAGGGCAGCATGTAAAGAGGGCTAATTCTGAATGTGGTACAGTGAATGGACCTGAGTTCAGATCCTGCCCCTTCTGTTCATCATGATGGAAGAGTCCCCAGAACAGAGCAGAACCCCACTTTGCTAACAGCCTCACATACACAAATTCCAAATCCTCTTACCCTAACAAGGAAATACTAGCACAATCCCCATTTTACAAACGAGGAAGCTGACATACAACTCAGTGGCCAAGTCATATCCAAACCCCGCACATCACTGTTGCACTCCATAGACACTCCCTTCCAGTGTCCTTTCTAGCACTGGCAATGGCTCTGCACTCTACTGCTGGACTTAATACCCAACCAACTCCAAAGGATTCTCTCCAAGTAGGGTTCCCATCCTACTGCTGGACTCTGGCCAGCCCTTTGCCCTTTTATCCTAATAACTATCCCAGCATTCCTATCCAGGAGTTATGGGTCTCTGCCAAAGGTGCTCTTGAAGCTGCAGCTTTCACTATGGGCCCAGCACTACTGTACCTGTACCCCCACCTAGGAATAGCACATCCACCTCTGCAGGATGTTCACAGCCCTTGCCCTGAATCCCATGGCCTCAAGGACCCTGTCTCTGTAGACCTTTCCAGCCAGGTGACCAGGATGCCAACTGGACCACATGGGGACCTTGAACTCCAGAGCCTAGGGGAGGATATCTCCACCACTGGTTACAAATCCAAGGTCAAATTCCTCCTGCTATATGATGAAATTTTCCTAAATGTTTCCTCCCAATTCACCATTTGTTTGTATAAGAAGTTCCTTATGCATGTGGTATATACGTAGGAATTACAGTAGAGCTGAAACTATTTTACATTCCTATAGCACTGGGCAATTGATGCTCACCAAGATTTGCACAGAGAAGCCAATGTTACATAAAGCTGTTGCCTGTTCCACTTCTGCTGCAGCTCCCTAATGGCCTGGGAAAGACAGAGGCAGATGGCCCAAGTGTTTGGGCCCTTGCCACACAAGTGGGAAACCTGGAAGAAGTTCTAGGCTCCTAGCTTCATCCTGGCCCAACTGGCCATGGCAGCCATTTAGGGAGTGAACCAACACATAGAGGAGTTTCTTTCTGTAATTCTTTCAAATAAATAATATGTTTTATTTTAAAACACAGCCTCCACCATGGCCTTTGCATCCCATGTGAGTTCCAGTTCCAGTCCTGGCTGCTTCACTTCTGATCCAGTTCCCTGCTTATGGCCTGGGAAGGCAGCAGAGGATGGCTTAGATCCTTGGGATTCTACACCCATATGAGGCCCAGAAGAAGCTTCAGACTACCTCAGTTCTGGCCACTGTGGCCACTTGGCAGTGGTGTACCAATAAATGGTGTACCAATGAATCTGTCTCTCCTTCTCTCTTTGTAACTCTTTAAGTAAAAAGAAATATTTTTTAAAAAATGAAATAATGGGCCTAGTGGCTAAAGTCCTCCTCATGGGCACCTGTTTGTGTTCCAGCTGCCCTGCTTCCCATCCAGCTCTCTGCTTGTGGTCTGGGAGTGGTCGAGGATGATTCAAAGCCTTGAGACCCTGCACCCACGTGAGAGACCAGAAGAAGCTCCTGGCTTCGGATCGGCTCAGCTCTAGCTCTTGCAGCCCCTTGTGGAGTGAACCAGCAGACACAAGATCTTTCTGTCTCTCCTTCTTTCTGTAAATTCGACTTTCCAATTAAAAAATCTTAAACATATGAAACCATATGTTAAGGAAAAACTACTTGGGAGAAGAAACCCAGTTTCACTTTGTAAACAAGTCTTCCCCACCCCTGCCCCGGCTCTCTCAAAATACAATAAAAAATAAGATAAAATATATCTTAAAAAAATAAAAAGATTCTGACAAGTGGAGCAGATAAAGTAGGTTGTGATAACCACAATGAAAAGAATAATTTAAGAGTTCAAAAAGGCTAATTAAGGTTAGAAAAAAAAAAGTTGAAAGGCAGAGTGACATTGAGATCTTCCATCTACTGGTTTAGTCTCCACATGGCTACAATGACTGTGCCAGGGCTGGGCTGAAACCAGGGTCCAGGAGCCACCACTTCCCACCCCAAGTATCCCAAATGGATGACACAGGCCCAAGTACTTGTGCCATCATCCACTGCCTTCCTGTGGAAAAGTCAGGACATGAACCAGCTTTCCAACACGGGATATGGGTGTCACAGGTGGTCAGCTCATTTTGAATGCTAACAATACAGCTGGTCTCTTGGCACCATGATACCGGAGTCTTCTGCTATTCCTCACACCATCTGGTTTAACTCTTGCACCAACCACTACATGTTGGCAACTCCCTCAGAGCTCTAGGGTTTCTGCTCTCTGAACTTCCTCCCCATGTAATCTTCACTGTTCCTTTGGCTCTAAAGCTCGTCTAAGAGCCTCAGTAATGTTTCTGAGGCTGAAACTGTGGTCCAGTTCCACGAGGAACACATGGATGACATGTGGTACACACTGATCCACCACTGCCACGAGTTTGTATCAACAACCAAGCTCTCAA